ATTTTCTGTAGAAGAAGAAGAAGAAAGAGGAAGGGGCAAGTAGATTCTATTAAGTCACAAAATCATTAAAATGTTGTCTTAATTTTGTTTAGTCTAGTAGGAATTGACAAATAACTATACTTCCCTCTCTAAAGTATATTACTGTTTAACATAAAACTAATTTTAATACTTTTAATTGAATTTTGGAAGATGTGGCTGTCAAGGTCAGTTATGTCTAGTCGATTAAGAACTTTGGGGTTTGAAATGATGGGTATCGGGTTCAAGTCTCAGTAGGAAAACATTATCATTCACTGGAGAATGCACGTTCATTCAGGTGACGAATCCTAAATAGGACGAAATGCACATCCTGGATTCCACGATTATAATTGGTGATATGGATCTCAGTGACACCCGTTGGAAATCCTTTTCGTGACAGGCCATATAGAAGAACTGACTGACTAACTTCACATTTGTGTTGAAAATCCGAATCTTGTTGTTTATGCTGCGTCGGAATGCAGAAGATTTGCAAGCATTTTCCAGGTTGATGAAGGCGTTTCTATTCCATTGTGGGTAAAATTTATTTTGATAAAGTTTCATAGTGTTATACAGTAATATTTACTGAAGACATTTCGAGCACAATTTATCACTCATAATCATATCATCTTGATGTGATCATTCTAGACCAAATTGCCCAAGTTCTGTTCCTATATTAAGGTGTATCTAGCCTCTTTGATGCTGTCTGACTTTGACGTCTTGATCCGTTGCGACTGCCTGTGGTTGAAACCGTGCACCTAGGTGATTGGTACTGGCTGTTGTTGCTCTTGCGGCTCGTTAGTTATCTGTCCCACCTCCATCTTCTCTATGTTCACCTGGAGTTCTGTCTTTGCTGCCTACCTCTTCTGCAAGTTTCTTGGTTCTCCCCTGCCTTCAAGTCTTCAAGTTTTTATGACATTCAACATAAATCATCCACACACGAAATCTAACCTTCTTCTAGAGTCTTCTTGTCAGTCAGTACAGCGTATTCCTGTCTTCGCACTCCCTTTGCACAGTCTGACGCATAATCCAGTCCACCACAAGTAGGAATATCATCGTCGGTGATCATAGGCAGGCAGGAGGCAGCCTTGTTTTACTCCTGTATTCTCTTTGAACACCTCGCTGAGTTTCCCGTTGTGGATCACCTGACACATGGTATTGTCGCATAGCTAGCAGTTGAATGAAGTTGATAAAGACTTCAAGTAAACCATAGTGTTGAAGTAGTCTCCAAATTACTTCTCGACCAACGCTGTCTATCGAATGTCTTTTTGAAGTCGATGAAGTTGAGGCAGAGAGAGGTTTGACTACCATTCTCTATGCTTCGTTCTGTGATGACGATGCGTAGAGTTGTAATTTGATCAGCATAGGAATAATAATAACATTCATACTATCCCTCAGCCACTCTGTTATTCTTATTTTATCCACAAACAAGCAAAAAAACAAACAAATGAAGCATTTAACACCTAACTAATGCCCAATAATGGAGCAAATCATCATTTTTCAAAATAAAACGTCTCATGTAACAAGCATGCCCTTGGATAAATCAAAAATATACCCAAAATGTGTGTCAGTATAAGCAGGAGATGAAATGAAAGTCATCTACAATAAAAAACAATCAGTATTTAGACTTTGATTGTGTATCATACTAACAGGCAGTCTTTAAAGACCTTATCAGAACATATCAATCATTATAATAAAGGTTTTCTCGTATTTCCCAATGACTGAAAAACAGCAAAAGGATATTGTTGCTGCTAATAGCTATATCAAAGTATTAATAAACTAGAATTTACAAAATCCACTCAGCTTGAATTATATAGCAACTTAATAATCGTTCCTCAGCATGGGATCATTTTTGAGTTGTTATCAAGTTGGCCAGTTGGTAAAGATAACAAAACCAGGTGAGTGTAGATTGTTGGATTTGATAAGTGTCTAAAATTGTACAAAAGCAGCATGTGTTTGAAATGAAATCGCTTATCAAATTCGCCTTGATTTTGTCATTTCATGGGGGAGATTGGGGGTGTTGTAACTAGGTCAAATTCTGTTTTAGTTCATCATTCCTATTCAGCTCAGACAATTTTGATTTCATTTGATATGAATGGCTTCTGATGATATTAGACGTTCTTTGTGATTTCTGAAATGCTTTTTCTGGATTATGATTTCAATATTGTCATAATCAGTTTCGTGGTCTGATTCTAAAGGGTGTAGAAGAGTTATGGCTGATGATTTTTCTTCAAGCTATTCTAGTTCAACTGGATTTCTCTGTCGTCGAACAGACACTCATGCTCCGGTGTTCATTTCTTCTGATAACCTTGATTTCTCTCTAGCAATGTTTGTCCGATGTATATCGCATCACACTGCAAGCATTTTATTTTATAGACACAATTAGATAGAGAATCTTTAGGGATCTGGTCTTATACAAGGACAAGGTTTCTTTGTAGTGTATGTATGCCTGATGTTTTGAAGAAAACTCTGATGTCCATCGAGCTTATTGAGTACTCTTCTGATATCATCTGATGTCACCGCTCTATATAGAATGACAACTGTTGAGGTCCATGTTTTTGGAATACGTTTCCGACCATCCTTAATGTCAGTGTTGATTTTGTTGATGAAGTTCGTTCGGTAGTTGTTTTGCTTGAGATTTTCAGTAATGTGTCATTCGTCTAGTCCTTTGTTCGATGCAGACTTAGTTCTGTCAGTCAAGTTTGCAGTGTAACGACCATTATTCTAGGTGGCTCACCATCACTCTGAGATGTTGTTGTTATTAGATAGTTGGAGGCAACCAGAAGGTAGCCTAAGACCTAGGTTCCGTGCTTGTTTAGCATTCACCAGTCAGCAAGGGACTTATGTAACTTCTGAGATTAAAAACACTGTCACCCAGTGCTGCCGTCAGAAACGCTACCTAGGTTATAAAGTTTCCTGCCATTCACCTCCAACCATCTAATAACCGTGATGGCGAGCTACCTAGCATGTTGGCCACATCGGAAACTTAACTGATATAATCCAATCTGCATTGAACAAAGGACGAGACACAAGATACTAGTTACTACCTGGTGTCTTATCAAAACATCCAATACAGTCCTACAGAAGGTCAGTCACTATTCCTAATAGCTTAGTAGCAACGTTTCTAGCTGCAGAAGTCGGTGACACGGGTTTGAATCTCGTGAATGAACATGAGTTCCTTCAAGTTTGTAGATACGCCTAGCCAACTGGTAAGTGCCAACTAGCAATCACGAGACCTAGGTCTAAGACTTCCTGCTTCCTGCCTCCAGCTATTTAATACCAACTGTTTAAATTAGGTTGTACGGATCAGGTCTTTTTTTATGCATCAGGATATAAGCCAGACACTTATTATTGTATGTAAGTGTTGATAATAGTACCTTGCTACCTAGGCTGAAGTAGATGGATTCGAACCAAGAGACCTACCAGCTGGAAGTTAACTACTTGAGTCAATCAATGGCATCACTTCTCAGTACTAATAGAACTATATCAATACTAGTTTACTTTATTATTTGTACTTGATAGATTAACAGTAATAGATTACTAAAATAAAACTAATTTTTACTAATTAATTACTTTGTTAATGATAATGACAAAAGGATTAGATGATCATGTGAGGTTATTTCACGTCATAACTTTGGTAAGCATTAGGACCTTATACGCTGTACTGTACTGACTGTCTTTTAGTGACATCACCAATATATAGAATCATTTGTGGTCTTCACAGTCCGACGAATTCAATTTTCGTATAACAGGCTAGGCGCCAAAGCTACGGGGTGAGAAGGCTAATGATACTACCCAGTTGCCCATAATCAATTAAGTGGGATGGAACTCGAACTCATGACCCAATCATTGAAAACATAGTTCTTAAGTCAAAGAGTCCCATTTCTAGAGTAGTAGTATTAGTAGTTCGATGAATAGCTTTAAAAATTCAATACAGACTGATATAGGCTGCCAATACCAATAGGTAAACACCTGAGGTTATCAGAGGCTTTTATAGTGCTTTAAAAAGGTGACTGGGAAGAGTATGGGAAATAAGTGACACCAAACAAAAAGTGATAAATAAGGAAACAAAAGATCATATTGAGAAATACAAACCACCAAAAAATAAACCCCTTATTTTATTTCCAGCTAATGTGCCCGTGATTTGGTGGCAGAATATTCGCCAAACACGTCTGTGGTCCGTGTTCGATTCCCGAACTACGCACTACTCAACCTCACCACTAGGTGGCAGTAAACTTGGAAAAACAATAGAAGGTTCGGTGTCAGATTAGTAACCCCAATCCCATAGAAAATAACACCACCTCTATCAAAACTGCGAAAGCCCCATGTTCCACACCGAACACAAAAAAGTTATGCACGCGGTGGAAAACAAAAGAAGAAAAAACATTGTGAAGCTGTGTAGATTTTAGCTGGCAACAATCAAACAGTTTATGCATAATTCTTTCCATCAATTTTGGCTGCATTTGTGAAGTTGGTCGTGTTGTCATCAAAATCATCTAATTCAGTGATCTCAACTCACTGAACAAATCTTAATCTCATAAACTGTAACCACCTTTGTTTTCTGGAGTTGCTATGTGAACCTACAAGCTAACACTGTTCTGTTAATCAATTTTTTCTGTTTTCTGTCTTACCTCTCCCCCCCTTCTTTCCAACTTTGAAAGTGTATAAATTGATGATGAAAACTTAAACTAAAAATTGTAATACTTTCATTTTGGATGCGTCACTTTTATAGTATCTCTTCTCTACTACCACTCAAACATTAAAGTATGTTATTATCATCTATATAACCATTGTAATTTCAGGTAGGGGTGTGCAGCTGATGAGAACCTGTGAAATAGACTGTTGATATCATTTTATACTGCAAATTTCGTCTTCCTTTCTTTATCGAAGTGTATCAAGGGAACCAAATGTATGAAAAAATTATTTATTTTAGTAAATAAATTCATTAATTCAATATTTCTTTCAATTTGTAATCAAGAAAAACTTACCGTTTTTGTAATTTTTCATCAGAATTGTCAGCTACATATGTCCGTAGTTCATAATCTACCCCACATGGCTAAAAAAACAATAGACACACATCCAATATATTACATATAAATGATAGGTAAATATATTATAATATAATAACAATAAATGCAATGGTAGTGATGAGTAATAATCTTTTTTCTAAAGAACTAGTCCACTGCTTGCTAGTAATTGACTACGAGATGAACATCCAGGAATTCTTCTAAGATGCTGTGACAGATCTGGTACATAAAGTCGGCTGTGAGAACAAATAACCACATATGACAATCGATAGCAACACTGCTAAACATCATAAATTAGCAGAAGTTATCATTAATATGAACCCGTGGTTACCATTTCAGTGACTCAATCCTAGCGTGTTTGCCTCATAACATGAAGGTCTTAGATACCATCTCTGTAGTCCCACACAAATCTTACAAGACTGGAAATTCAAGCTCAAACATCTTTAAATTATTATTGATTCATAGCGCACTCCAAGAATGAATGAATGAATGACTCCTGATTCTGCACCAAGTTATAAGTCAATAGACGTGAAAATGGCTTACTGAGTGAACAGTTTATCTAAATAAATATAAACCTACAAAATGTATACTGGTAAGCATTTTTGAAAGTTGGAGGATTTCATCATGAGCTGACATCAGTTAGAAAACCAACGGGAAACCAGCTAGGAGTAGTGGACAACCAGTTGTTTCGTCGGCTTAGTATTTGGGACTCTTCATCAGTGCACACCCACCGACAGTGTTCAAACCCAGAACCTTCTGGTTACAAGGCAAGCGAGCTCGTAGACAATTAATCCACTGGGACCCGGTCCAATATCCAACCCATGAATTCTAACTTCTGCCAATTCATGACATGGCGCGACCACTTCGCAATGTCTACTTCGATGAGTTACTGCCTTCTTTTTCAACCTGCTGCTGCACCCTGCTGGTCTTGGTTTCCCACTAGAACCCCAGGTTAACTGCCTAAATAGCGCTAGGAGCTAGTGAGCATTAGAAAAATAATTGTCAAGTATTGGTTTTGTGGAGAATTTAGTTCGATTGGTTTGATGAAATCCTCCAACTAATCACTGCCAATGAGGCATACTTATTCTAAGGGGACTGATGATACTACCTTTGGTAGGCAGAGTAATTCATTAAACCCGTAACTCCAATTGATTGGAAGTCGGCCGCCACAGTTTCACAATAAAAACTAAACATACTTCCTGTGAAAATAAGTTAACCTCACATTGTGTCTTCGTGCCTCAATGGCTCAGTAGTATAACACTCACCAATCACCCAGGTGGTACACAGTACGATCCCCACCTGACGCACTCCTGTACCTGCCTAAGTTGGTAGTAAGACGGGTGAAGAGTAGAGGTTGGGCATGACGCTAGCAACCCCACTCTGTAAAAATAAAACTAACACTACGGAAACTGCAAAGTCCTAGCTTGAAGTCCTGTGTTCAGTTTGGGAACATAAAGGAGTATAAAAAGAAAATGTCAATAGTAATACTAACTACTCACAAGTCCTACTTCCGAATAGTTGCCTTCTGTCTGTAAAATCTATCTTTGAAATAAAGAAGAACGAAACAGTACGGCATTTCAAATCTCTATACTTCGTAAAAGTAAATATAAACGTAGAGAAAAGAATTATAATAAGCAGAGATGTTTGGGAGAAATGATTGCATGAAGAAGAAGAATGTGATTCTAACGGATCTGAGAGATCACACAAAGATTGAAAGTGCCACTGAGAGATTACACTTTGAGCCTAATAACCAACATTCTCCAACCAAGAAGTTTGTTAGCATCTTGAGGATCCTAGTTAGGTAGTCTACACTTCCCTATGTGACTCAAAATAACCATCGGAGATATAATGATGACTGCCTTTAACTCTTTTCAAACCTAATGTTATTTTACAAGCCAATGTCAACTTAGATTGATTTCAACACTGAAAAAGTATTTCAAAATAGAATAGATCAAGTAAATCTAAATTATTGCTTACCTTGCCATTTTCATTTGGTCCTGGTTGAAGTGTTACTGAAGCCGGTGCATCTGGAGGAAGCTTGGAAAAAGAAAAAGAACAACATATAGTTGCATAACAAGTCAGCAAATAATGCAGTCAGATATTCTACAGTGAAGATGTGAATATTTTGCTTTGTTTTCGCTCTAGGAGACAAAAGATGTTGTGGTTCAAAACATCTTTGCCCATTAACTCATGAACAGTTTTAATGAATTGGAAGATACATTGTGTTACAAAAAATCAAATGATACATCTGTCTTTGAGGTACTGAAATAGTATTTATTGATTACTTTCAGATTACTTTGTTCACTGTAATGTATTTACTTTCTACCTTACGTTTTAAGGCAGTATGAGAACTAATTAGTGAACAATCTTTACTATTTTTTTAAAAATTAATTTCGCTATGTGAACATTTTGACCTATATATCACAGAGACCAAACGCTGATACTCATGAATAGTTCTGTTTTTGAACATCTACTGCATATCTGGTAATGATTATTTCGGTATAAGGATACTCCTGTTTCTTTCATATTATGCGCCTTTAAGAAGTATTGTGACTAACTGACTGACAGACTGACCTACTGTTTTTAGCATAGAACTTTACCTAGAAGTGAAGCACTTCGAGTCGCCACACTCTGTGTAACAGTAACATGGAAAAACAATAAAGTTTCAATAAAGAAAGGTAGATCATAGAGAGCGAATGAATCTACGCCACTGGAATCAACTTTGAATCAAATCAACTGTCTCCAGCTAATGGTTTCTAGAATTCTGAAGATATCAATCAGGCAGTCTACACTTATCTGCATGGTCCAAACTAAATGTTTAGGAAGAAGTATTATTGTACGAAGTGATGAGCTTCTTGTAAGATTCTGAGCTAATGCATCCGACTGTCTACTGATTCCTGTCTTTTTTCCTTCACGTTCCCCAGTGGAACATAGGGCTTCAAGCTAGTGGCCTGAAGTTTCTGTAGCAGTGTTTCTTTTACAGGATGGGGTTGCTAGCCTCATGACCAACCTTTCCCCTTCACCAGCATTACTTCTGGCTTAGCGAGGTAAAGGAGTGCCTCGTCGGCCGGGGATCGAACCCCGGACCATGTGCATGGTCGGCGAGCGTTTCACTGGTTGATTATAGGTCGATTACCTGATGCTGAACTATGACCTACACGTATTGTGTGAGGCTTGACAATACTACACAGTTGCCAAGGAAGCAAGATTTGAACCCATGACACACTGACTGAAAGCTGAGTGTTTAAACTAATGAACCACACCTTCGCTAAACTTTACAACATTTATGATAATTACAAGGTGACTGTCAATGAGCAGCATTCATTTCTTTTACATTTTAAGGTGTTTTTAACTCACAAAACAGTAACTGCATGTATTTCTACTGAATTTTTCAAGTTTAACTAGAATAAAAATATGAACAAACACTATTTAGCTGTTAGGTTTCCGATATCATATATAATTATGTTTTACGAAACTGTCCTCAAATTTCAGGAAGATGCAACATGTATAGTAATGCAGAAATCCAAGCATAAATGGAAGGAACCTGAGAGAAACTACTTCCTTTACCTGCCTGGGAAGCATCGTTTCAACCACAGGCGGAACAGACGAGGATATCAAAGCAAGGATCGGAAAAGCAAGACAAGCTTTCACTACTCTCAAGTCTGTGTGGAGGTCAACAACACTCAGCATCAAAAATAAGATCCGGATTTTCAACTCCAATGTGAAGTCAGTCAGTGATACTATACGGATCAGAGACTTGTACTGAGCGTCATAAAGAGCATCTCAAACAAACTGCACACCTTCATTAACAGATGTCTTCGCTCAATACTCAATATCAGAAGGCCGGTCAGAAAAGATCAGCAACAGAGATCTCTGGCAATGAGCGGACCAACCAAGCAGGAACCGATTGTGAAAGAAATGAGCAGGAAGAAATGGAGGTGAATTGGCCATACTCTGAAGAAGCCATCAACTGACATCACTAGACTAGCCCTCGAGTGGAACCTGAAAGGGAAACAGCGAGTTGGTGGTCCAAGGGTAACTTGGAGGAGGTCATGTGAACAGGGGATGGAAGCATGTGGGAGAACTTGGAGCCAGGTGAAAACTCTAGCAGAGAGCCGAAGGCAATGGAGACGCGCTACTAAAGACCTATGTTCATCTAGGAATCAAAGGAAACAATAATAATAACCCAAGTCACAATGAAGGAACATTCAAACACGAAAACTTCCTTGCATATTTTAATACCTAGATTAACTCACACTAATATAGTAGAAGACGTAAAATAGAAAAGTATTAGAAGTAAAGTTTCAGTAAGAGTTGAGCAGATCAACTATTATCGGAAGCAACAGCGAAACGATGTTTCTTAGGAGGGATTATAACGTTGACAAGCATCATACGTCCATGAATCTGAATGTACTTTGTTTCTACTTTCAGAGTGCTGAGTAACTTCCTTTGTGAATGAGTAATTCATGTGTTATTAGTATATATATATATATACATGTATATTATAAATCTGCGGAAAATGCGATTGAAAGACTTACTTTAAAATAGAATGGAAATGCGTTGGAACCTAACTTTTTGATTAAACGTTCCTGTAGTCTGGTTAATGGAAGAGTACCAGATTGTGAGGCACCACCTGACTCTTCACCACCTTCCAAATCAGAATTATTGTTTGAAGAAGACCGTGGAGCTCCACATGCGGTTGTACTTGCAGGATTTAAAAGAACTTTTCCAGATTCACCATTTTCAGAGGCATAAACTGGAGGGTAAACTTGAGCCGAAGAAAGATATAGGTCTTTCCGAAACGTTAGCCCAAGAACATCAAGATCCTCTCGACCATAACGAAATGCTGATAATACATGAGTATAGACCTTCCGTCCTTTGACATATTCTGGGTCAACCAGGACAACACCCTCTTAAAAATAAAATAAAGTGAACTGCTTTAAGGAAAAACATAATGTATTAGGAGAAGGAACATCTTATGTGAAAATAATTAAGTAAAAATAATATTCTAAAAGTGATGCATAGGTCATTTTAAGTGATCAGAAAACTGTGCTATTCTCTCTTCTTTACTGTCCACTAATGGTTAAACTATGTATTGAATGGCGTGCAAGTTGTTAAGATGTTACAATCAACATAAGCAAACAAAAGATGAGATTGGTTTAAGGGTTTGAAATATTCCCATGTCATGAATACAGGATGTTCTAAGCGAAAATGAAAATCCAGAAGAGTTTGTAGAAGCCAACATAGGTTATAACAGTTGCAAATACGAACTGACAACGGTGGAGGAAAAGTCATTTGTAGTCTATAATTGAAGGAAGATAATCCTAAAGATGAGATTTTATATCAGTATTTAACCAGAGTGTACATCTGCTCCCACCTCTCAGTAGCCGTCCAGTGTTCACTCCGAACTGAAAGACGTCTTACTTAATCTTAGCTCTTCCTCATGCCTATACCATCTCAACTGCTCCTCTGGTTCAAGATACAAAGGGCGTGCTATTAGGCAGGTTCATCTACGCATTCAAAAACGTTTACCAGCTTGGTTCAGTAAATTTGAAATTAAATGAATGAAAACTACATTTCTGACACATTTGGTGAATACAGAACATCACATTGATACGAACGTAGCCTTAAAGTCTATATGTCACATTCAAACCATCGTCACATGCAGTCCGTGTGCATCTTCTACATACCTGAACTTTATATTCAAAAAGATCACGTTCAGGAGCTATTCGTACTGTGGCCAGAATTGGATTAAAAATCCCTCCACTACAAGAGTGGAGGAACACTTTTAGCTATAATGTTTTATTATGTATACCCTTCATCCTAACATTCTTTCAATTGATTAAGTCACAAGGATCGCAGATGTTTTTGAGTGTGTTTAAGCTTATGTCTCAGTCGTTTTACCTATCTTTCGAAAGATACTGCCACTAAAGAAAACTCCCGATAAAGCAAATACTGAGTAAAGTTTTACAACTGCTCTACATCTTTCTACGACAGGAGTTCTCCAAGCTAAGATGGGCTCATTAAAACTAACTGTGATAATGGAAATGCCTGTAGTACATAAAAATTACTGTTCCTAATAAGCACATGAATCGACAAAAACTGCTTCCCTGATGCAGATTATCTCGGTCTGTCCATAATCACACATACATACTGTTAAGCATCATACACCTGAAAACTTCTTTACACCATCTTGAGCTTAATACAAATCTCTGAGTGCTAATAAGAAATTTGATAGTGACAAGTGGAAAGTAAAAGCCAAAATAAAAATAATTTAGCAAAATATAAAAAGGCGCAAACTCATATAGACAAATAAATCAACATACCAATAGGATCGACGTGTGCTAGACTGTCTATAAAGTCTCTCTTACACAAGTATGTTGTAATCTAGAAAATAATTTTATGAATGATACAAATTACTTTTCCGTTTGGACTGCTTTTCTTAAAAACCCTACATATTTAAAGGTTATACGAAGAAGTGAAAGCTAACCTTGTACCCTGTTTTCTTTGTGGATTATTCCCACTGTCATCCATAATATCATAATGCAATCCAGAGGCCTGACAAAAACTATGTCACACAAATAACGAAGACACCGACAGAGGTCAAAAAAGCGCTCTTCTTTCATTCATTGCATTGAACCTTGCAGAAAATCACTGGTGTAGCAAAACAAAAGTTATGATAGAAGCATAATATTGCAACAGAGTTTTGTGTGCATTAAAAGGCGAAAGCTCACGATTATTCTGAACGGATATTTCTATATGTTTTCACATCTTTATGACGTGGAAAATGTAATCAAGTCATTTTTGTTTCTTTGTCTAATGTTCAATGGTTTTGTTGCGAGTTACTGCAGACCTGCTTAGTTTCAAGTACTTAAACGCAATGAAAGGTTCTACAAGCCTATAGTTACTTCCATTTCAGCGTATTGAGTGTCTTATCTGTTAAGCCTGATGAGATGTGGGCATTTTCACTATTCAGTGACTGAAAATAAGTTTACAACAATAGCGCCATTGTGAAAACCGTTCCACAAATCTTTGAGAATTATTTGTGAAAAATTAGTTGTAGGCAAACGAAAGTGGGTGAATTAACAGCTTGAATAAGTGAACTGTATAGAATAGTCAAGTTGACTCAGAAAACCCGGATGGTATCTTCATCGCATAACCGTGACTGACACGTGAAATCAACGACAGTAAAGTTGACTTACAAAACCCCTCAGAAGGCAGGCTGAATGAACCACAGGGGCAGAGAAATAATCGACTGTCACAAAAAAATCTCGGGCTTCACACAGCCAAGTTTTTATCGAACTCGAGAGTGGATCATGAGAACTTATCCATCGAAGACTAAAATGCAGGGGAAAAGACATGAACATCACAGCAAAATATTACAGCCCTGATAGGGTGACAGACAACCACGTCAGTGAAGGATCCAGCTGACTGATGCTTCGTACAATCTGTGGTACGCCCCTATAATGCCTCCTTAAGCCGGTTGAAAATATTTCAAGACACCATTCTCATACAACCCCTGTGACCAAAAGCCAGTAGAATCTTCTACTTAACTGGTTTCAGTCCTGTATCGCAATGCACTGTGATTCTCAGCACTCCTGTTTAGCCTTCGAAATGGTCTTCTCCCACAGTTAGGACGTGGACTTCATGCGGCTCATGCAGGCATATGGATATGTATAAATGTCTCTCTGCAGCCTAATGAAAGAAGTGGACCCTAGGTCTGGAAGTTGATAGCGAAGCTGCCTAAAGTCTTTTTAAGAAAAGTGTTTGAAGTATATAAGCTCATTGGTCAGGCCTAAGTGTGGCTTGGCATCCGCTGGTTCCGCGTTGCATGAACACCCTGAATAACAATGTGTCAATACCTTGCTCAACCTCGCCTAGATTACTAGGTCACTAGTATTCTAGCCGGTCCCAAGCCCGGATAAAGAGGGAGGGTTGGGGCGTGGTGCTAGCAACTCCACCCCCAAAACTTAACCAAATTGCTACTAAAACTTCAACGCACAAATATATTCAAAATTCTAAAATTACAAATAGTGACCTTATTTTTCGCTGGAATCGGGGAAGTGAAATGACGCGGGCTGGTGAAAGCCTTCGGGAAGCCAGTCAGCCGATGTGCCTTCTTTCGATGAAAGCGAAAATAAGGATGGGGACGTGGAATGTTCGTACAATGTACGAAGCTGGGAAGGCTGCTCAGGTAGCCGCAGAAATGAGGAGATATAGAATAGAAGTGTTGGGAATCTGCGAGAGCAGATGGAACGGATGTGGACGGAGCCAACTATCAACTGGAGAGACAATAATCTACTCCGGTCACCCAGAGGACAATCACGAGCACACCGAGGGAGTAGCCATCATGATGTCACCAACAGCAGCTAATGCTCTCATGCAGTGGGAACCAATCTCCTCCAGGATAATGACAGCCAGGTTCAACTCAAAAGGAAAGAAGGTTACAATCATTCAGTGCTACGCGCCTACAAACGCCTCAGAACATGAGAAGAAGGAGGATTTCTACAGTCAACTACAAACAGTAATGGACAACGTCCCAAAGAGCGATATCAAAATCCTGATGGGCGACATGAATGCGAAACTGGGAGGAGACAATACAGGAAGAGAACTCACCATGGGTCGTGAGGCCCTCGGTGAAATGAACGAAAATGGTGAACTCTTCTCAGACTTCTGCGCCTTCAATGATTTGGTGATTGGTGGCAGTGTGTTCAAACACAGGGATATACACAAGGCAACATGGATTTCACCAGATGAACACACCAAAAACCAGATAGACTTCATTTCAATCTCAAGGAAGTGGAGACGGAGCCTACTGGACACAAGATCGAGGAGAGGAGCAGATGTGGGTTCAGACCACTATCTGGTACAAGGGACTTTCAAGGTGAAGCTGAAAGCCTCGAGGATACCTGGGGATAGGCCACAATGCAAGTTCAACACTCACAAACTGAAAGACACAATCACACAGGACATTTTCACTGCAACTGTCAGAGCAAAGCAGGAAACACTACGTGGCACCACTGAGGAATCACCCGTGGAAGACCATTGGAACTCTCTGAAGGTAATTTTCAACGAAACGTGCTCAACGGTTTTAGGAAGAAAGAAGAAACAAGACAAGGAATGGCTCTCAACAGACACTTGGAAACTAATAGAGGAGAGGAGAAAAGTGAAAGAGAAAATGATTCAATGCAAAGATGGACAAGAGAAAGAGACGCTGAACTCAACTTACACAGCACTGGACAAAGAAGTGAAGAAGAGTGCCAGGAAGGACAAAAGACAATTCTACGACAACCTGGCTACTGAAGCTGAGAAGGCAGCAGGCAAAAGGGACCTGAGGACACTATATCAGATAACCAAGTCTCTATCCGGGAAGAGATCAACACAAGTGAAACCTATAAAAGACAGCCAAGGGAACCCAATTACCAAAGAAGAAAGACAGATTAAACAATGGGCGGACCACTTCAAAGGACTCTTGAACCGACCACCACCTACAACCCGTCCAGAAATACCAACAACGGCACGTACACAACTGCAAGTTGACACCAATCCTCCAACGAAAACTGAAGTCATGAATGCAATCAAGCTTCTGAAAGCTGGAAAAGCAGCTGGACCAGATGGAATACCCCCGGAAGCACTGAAAGCGGACCCAGAAACGACGGCAGATATGCTGACTCCATTATTGCAAAAGATCTGGAAAGAGGGAAAGGTGCCTACTGACTGGAGGAAAGGTTACCTCGTGAAACTACCAAAGAAGGGCGACCTGGGACTCTGCAAGAACTGGCGAGGAATCGTGCTCCTGTCGACGCCAAGTAAAATCCTGAGTCGCATCATCCTGGAGAGAATCAAGGACGCGCTGGATACAGAACTCCGACCAGAACAAGCTGGATTCAGGAAAGGCAAATCATGTTCTGACCAAATTGCAACTCTACGCATTATCATCGAACAAAGCATGGAATGGCAATCAAATCTCTACCTCAACTTCATAGACTTTGAGAAGGCCTTCGACAGCGTTGACCGCGAAGTAATTTGGAAACTACTCGAGTACTACGGCGTACCGCAAATATTCATCAACCTTATTCAACAACTGTACGACAACGGCACATGTCAAGTGATCCACAACGGAAAACTCAGCGAAGCGTTTAGAGTAAACACAGGAGTCAGACAAGGGTGCTTATTATCACCAATGATATTCCTAATTGTGGTGGACTGGATTATGCGTCAGACAGTGGGAAACGAGAAGACAGGGATATCCTGGACCGACGTGAAGAACCTAGAAGACCTGGATTTTGCGGATGATTTATGTTTGATGTCACACAAAATCGAAGACTTACAAGCGAAAACCGACAAACTGGTCGAAGAAGCAGACGGTGAAGACAGGACTCCAGGTGAACATAGACAAGACGGAGGTTATGAAAATAACCAACCAACAACAACAACAGCAGCAGCAACATCCAGTGCCAATCACCATCAACGGGAGGGATTTGAAAGAGGTTACTTCTTTCACTTATCTGGGGAGCATTGTCTCAACCACAGGAGGAACGGACGAGGATGTCAAATCGAGAATCGGGGAGGCGAGAAACACATTCATCAACCTGAAACCAATCTGGAAATCTTCGTCACTCAGCATCAACAACAAAATTCGGATTTTCAATACAAATGTCAAGTCAATTTTGCTTTACGGATCAGAAACTTGGCGGGTCACCAAGAATATTTTCAACAGGTTGCAGACCTTTATCAACAACTGTCTTCGCTCCATACTGAAGATTAGATGGCCAGAAAGAATCACAAACAAGAAGCTATGGGAACAAACGAAACAGGAACCAATCGCCCAACAAATGTGCAGGAGAAAGTGGAGATGGATTGGACACTCGCTGAGGAGGCCGTCGAGTGACATCGCGCGTCAAGCCCTCGAGTGGAACCCGAAAGGGAAGCGGCGAGTGGGACGTCCAAGGGTGACATGGAGGAGATCGTGTGAGGAGGAGATGAAACAGTATGGAATAACATGGACGCAAGTGAAAAGAACAGCAGAAGACAGAAGCAAGTGGAGACGTGCAGTTGAAGCCCTATGTTCCACTAGGAATCCAAGGGAACAATAATAATAACAATACCTTGCTCACCTGTGTCTATCGAGTTACGATCTCCTTTTAATGAATGCGCGGTACGTTCAACGTTTGCGTTACATTTTTGCGTGATTCGTTACATAAAATTTATCTTGTTGTAATCCTTGCACAAGTACTATACTACTCCCATACCTGCTACCATTAGCTCTCATATCAAATAGTTATGGTCAATCGAAGTAAAAAGCAACGAACCCAATCCCCTGTAAATCTGGTGACTAATTTTACGTCTTTGATTGCTACATCAAGCAACACACTCCCTACAAACGGTTATAGTGAGCCACATAACTCACTTGTATGTCGTAAGCGTCGAGCTGGAACTGGGGAAAAAACTGTATTGCCAGATAGTATAAGCACTACTCCTAAAAATTCAGTACCCTCTGTTTGCTTATCAGGAAACTCCAGCCATCAAGCTCTGTTTCAGTACTATCTTCAGAAATAGAACTTCTATAGGAGAATTTAAGGCTGAGTTTTGGGGAAATTAAAAACAACAAGTCAGCAAATGCTGGAAATTCTGAAACCAGTACCAAGATATCCAAATTAC